GGTATTATTGGTGGTTTTGTATTAGATATAAGATTATCACTTTCTTTTGCTCTTGGTAAAGAAAGAGAATATAAAGGGAAAAGCTTTGACAGGCTGACAAAGTTTATTTAACTTGTATACAGGTTGGTGCGACAAGTCGCATGTAAACACGTTAATTGCAACTAAGTGATGTCAGACTCACAATCACGAGACTCCCTGTTTAGGTTATGAATGATATATATTGTTCAAGAGAGTTCAACTCTCACCAAAATATAGTCTTAAATAAATTGAGTACTGGTAAGACTGTCAAAGAATTAAAAAAAAAAAATTATACAAACTTTTTTTTTTTTTTAAATATTAAAAAGTGAGGCCTTAACTCTTTTTGGATGATTATTTGTCCCAAATTTTCCACCCAAAGAAAAATAAATATTTTGTTGGAGATAACATCGTTTCGTACTCTGATGAGTTGGTTTTTGTAGAGGTTGAACTTGCTTAACTCCTTTATATATTCGGCATGCAAGTCTAAAGTGTTTTAGTGCAAGATAACTGGCAGGTGGTGCCCTTGTATAGAAAATTTTGGTGGAGACAGTGTCCTGAAGAGGAGGGTTTCCATCGACGAAGTCTTTTAGAAGTCGAACAGAAAAGACAAGGGGGAACAACAAAAGATTTTAATTTTCAATACACTCCTTATAAAAAATACAAGTAATCTTTCTTTACCAATAAAAACTCCCTTCTATAACTTTTGTTGTTTTGAAAAAATTTTCTGGATAAAAAGTGGGGATTTGGCTTACCCCCTCCAAAGGATCAACATTGTTTACATCCCACCCGGATAGCCAAGTAGATTACAACCACATGTTCGACGGATATGGTACTACTAAATTGGACAGGTCCTATGAATTTCTCCTAATAGCGGCAGTAGGTAGCTTGAGATATGGGTCTATGGACAGCGACAGCACCTGGCTTGAGATACAGATTAGGTCGTACTAATTATTCCGGAGTTGGTTATATGGTTGAAAAGAAATACTAACATTGAGGTGAGGCTTTACAAGAGAGATATACAAATATTGTATTTGTTATATAATTTTTACACTCACCTAGCATGGGTTATAATAGTGCATTGTTTCTTGTTTTCTGTTTTTAAGATACTGAGAAGGAAGCCTTTTTGTTCGATTCCTTTTTTCGCTATTTCTATGATTTAGAGGTAGCACAATTTTCTTGTGGCCTGTCTGGGCTTATCTTTTTTTTTTTTTATCCTACATATTTGTAAAAAAAGATTCATTGAATTTGATTTGAGATATCTTCGTAAAGTTAGTCCATAAATTAAACCATTAAATTTTAAGCAGTAGTAGAATTTTTTTAAAATTTAAACAAAGATATCCGGCAACCACCAAAGCAAATTCAATGAATTTTTTTTTGTTTTTACCCTACACATTTGTAGAATCAGAATAAAAAAAGATTCATCGAATTTGATTTGGTGGCTGTTGAGATATCTTCGTTTAAAGATAGTCAATAAATTAAACCGTCAATTAAATTTTAAGCCGCAGTAAAATTTTTTAAAATTTAAACGAAGTATCTCGACAACCACCAAACCAAATTTCTGGTTTGTTCTGCATATTTAAAATAATAAAAAATAAAATTTCATAGAATTTGGGTTGGTAGTCGCCGAAATATCTTCGTTTAAACTTTACAATAAATTAATCCGTCTAATAAAATTTAAGTTGTAATGGGATTTTTTTAAACTTTAAACGAAGCTATCTCGACAAATATCAAACCAAATTCGATTAATTTTTTTTATTTTGATTTCACATACTTGTTGAATCAAAATAAAAAAAGCTCATCAAATTTTTTGTCGAGATATCTTTGAAATTGTAAAAAAATTATAATTTATGTGATGATCTATCGCTATATTATGTACAGCTAATTTTATTGGCTAATGTTTGTGTAACCGATAATTTGTTGTTGGGGTAGTTCTTTAACCCGGGTCAAAAAGCAATTTATTTTATTAAGTCAACATATTAATATAAGCAAACAAATAATCTAAGAACATTATCGTGGCAAAGAAATGACAGAATAATAATAATAACGATAAAAGATTATAAGATAAGTCAATTACATATTTCTCAACATTTAATATAGCAGCTTTCCATCCCAACAAAAAAAGATGATTTATGTTGTATTTTAGAACCTTTTAATATATATTACGATATTAAGTTGAAAGTTTATATAGATTATTATTATTATTATTATTTCTCTGTTTACTATTTTAAAAAAAAATTATAATAATAAATTTCCTTACAAAAGAATAGAAAATAAAATATTACAAATATGTAAAAAAAAATCAAATGAAATAAAAAATTAAAATTATATAAGGCTACATAAAGTTAATTATTTGGTTCTCATAACATAAAATTTTAAAAATGACCCGGCAACCCGGCTTTTAATTTTATTTTCAAAAAATTTATATATAAAAAACATATAAAATTTATTTGTAAAAATTTATATATAAAAAACATAAAATTTTTTTTGTAAAAATTTAAAAATGTTTACCCGGATAGTAAAAATAGTCAAAATTTTTATGAAAACCAATTAATTTACGAGCTAATAAGAGATTGACCACAAGCTATTGTATTGTTAGTGCCTCTAACAATTGCGGCTCCCATAACGTATTCAGAAGGTAATTCGGGAGCAGTAATAGTGAAGTCTATATCATAATTTTTAGTCGGACAAATAGTTTTACCATCATGACAAATAAATGAAAGATTACCCCCTAATAATGTAGGGTTTGTAATATTTGTAGTAGTAAATCCAAAAACGAATACGTCGCCATCAATAATATCTTCAGTTGTATTTACATGACCTTTAATAGTGATCGTTTGATTAGAAACTGGCGGATCAGGGTCAAATGTTATTTGATCAATTACGGTTGTATTTTCTTCACTAATTGGAGAAGGGCATTGCGTAAATGTGGTTTTTTCTTTTAATCAATTGGTGTGGATTAGCATTGACAATAGAAAATACAGTCAAAAAAACGAAGAACAAGGCAAGATTTCGGTTCATGGCTATTATCTTTTATAGATTAACAAAAAAAAGATTTTTTTTTTTTTCTTTACAGGAATTTTATGAATGTATTTATAAATGTATTTTTTTGAGTTTGGAATTCGTTGACATTTTATCAAATAAAAATGAAAAAAATACATTCACCTGATTTTTTTTAAATATTTATACTCACAAATTAGTAATTATTATTTTAATAATTAAAAAAAAGGATTAAAAAAAGACTTATTCATTCTCCACATTTAATTGTGGCCGTCTCCCAAATGAAAATCTTAATGAAATTAACACATGGTTTTTAGGTAAAAACATTTGCCATTTCATATTACTTGAAATTAGTGAAAAAAAATATGAAATACATTAAAGATCCAAAATGAAACAAAATTAGTCATGCAACGATTAATATCATAAAATTTATTCTGTTGGAGTAAATTATTGGCTGGCATGTTCCGCGCAATTGATGCTTCAGCTAATCATTTACTACGATAGAACAAATTTCATGATATTAATTGTTGCAAGGTCCAATATTGATGTTGCAATTTATGATCATGATTTACAAAGTCGTGATTTGCTATTTAATAACATACAAGAAATAACAAAAAAAAAAACTCTATTACCATAAGTGTTTGCACGATAACTATATAATATTAATTAAAATCTCAGGATACTGAAGGTACTGAAGGTCTGATATTCAGCTTTAGCTAACCAAAAGAAAAGCATTCTAAATTTTAAGTTTGGGATAATCCTTATTAAGTTTTTGTACTAATTAAGTATTATAATTTTTCAACAGTGTGTATACATTGCTACTAACTTTCATATATGTATTACTAATATAGATACTTGATGCTAATCGGTTAAAGAGAGGTTATTATGTTAGATGCATCAAAGAAGCTCTCTGGAGTACTTTTGGAATTAATCAGCTTAAACCATTTGAAGACAGTTACATGAAGGAACAAATGAAACAATGGAAACAACATCCTAATACAAAAAAAGTTCATGAAGAACTATATACTCCAAGTGACCCTAAAGATGCATGCTCAGATACTTATCTCGCACTAATAATTAAATATGTGTTTTTTTCCGAAGAAGAACACACATATAAGAATGCTGTTTGGACTCAGGCAGTACTTGAAGTAATGTTTGACGAATTTCACCTTTCATCAAAAATTGATACAGAGAATGTTGATATATGGATTAAGCATATTATGGATAATAATAAAAGTGTAAGTATATACTATTTATTTATACTTACTTATTTATTTATTTATTTTCTTTATATTTCTACTTATTATTGTTTTTTTTTTTAGAGTGCACGAGATAAAACTTCTGATCATTTATCATCTTTGTCTAATGTTAATAATAACAGTTCAGACAATGATCTTTATGCAGATTAGGTAACTTATTTTAGTTTAACATTATCAACGCATATTAATCTTAATACTTACATACTTATGTGGTCTAATTGTAAATTTAAAATAGTAATCTTTTAATTTGGGTGACGATTCTGAATTTTTTATAACTAAATCATCTTGATTGCTAGATCTAGAAATAGTAATTGTTGCTATATGAAGAAGCAATATATGCAAGTGCATTTAAGTATATTTTTTCGATAGTTAATGTCATTTTGATGCTTTATGTAATAAGCGTTAAATAATAGTCATGTATTAGTTAGTATAAAATTTAAGTTGTACAATGCAATGTAAATCGGTATTAGTTAACAAATATATGTTGTTAAA